TTTGGTACTGGTAGTGATTCTAGACAAACAATTGTAATCATAAGGATGGATTTTCTAAATTGAGTCTCAAGTCTTAGTTTTAATGGCACTAATAACATGCTTCCATTACTAAACAGAGTGCTGCTAAAACATGGCATGAGGTGGCAATGCTAATACACAAACTATCACCACCTGTAGATCAAATATTAGGGATAAGAGAATCTCTGGGTGGCTGTGTGTTTGATACTTTTCTGAGATTTTTGTCAGGATGAGAAGCATTGTCCTAATGACAATACACAAAGTGGTAAAGAAAAGAGACCAGTTTCAGAGTTACTGACCTCATAAGAGACCTCTAGGTTTCTACTTGTGCCCTAAAAGAAAGTCTTTTTTCTTATAGTAACAGAGCTGAAATTGCCAAAAGCCAAACCCAGAATCTTATCAGGATAAACCCATTAAAACGAGGGACAGACCTTTTACCAAACAGTGAATAACAAATCTGTGAAAGTAGCCTCAGCATTCTTGAAGACTTCTGTGATTGCTATTTTATGTAAGTCAGATGTGACAATGGGAACCAACCTAATTAAATTAAGACACTTAATTACAAGGGATCTGATTGGACTCCATGGTGGTAGGGGCCAAGTGGCAGCACTTAGTAACAAAGATGTGGTTATCATAATGGACAGCAGAATCAAAGTAGTAAACAGTATAGTCTGACTGGTGTGGACTTACAGCATTGGCTACTTAGGTATGATGTCCCTAGGAGTCTAGAAACAGATGGGAAAGCTACTAAATACTTACTTGATCTGTTCAAGCAGAAGAATTCTAGATAAAGTTAATGGTAGCTTAAATTGAATAGCCACACTATAGTCATGGACTCATGATCAATTCCCAGATAGGAGCCAGTTTACAGACCCACTACCCCTTGAAAGAAGGGGTATGGTCCCTTGATGTCCACACTATGCCGCCAAAATTTATACTGTTTAGTTTTTCCCAGACTTTCCCAAAACGACCTACCACATTTTACAAGGGTGATTGTTCACTGGGGAAAAGGAAATAATCAGACTTTTCAGGGACTGCTGGACACTGACTCTAAATGGACACTAATTCCAGGAGACTCAAAATGTCACTATAGTCCACTAGTCAGAGTGAGGGCATATGGAGGGCAAGTTATTAATGGAGTGTAGCTAAAATTCGTCTCACCATGGGTCCACAAACTCATCATGTAGTCACATCCCCATTTCAGGAATGCATAATTGGTGTGTATATATATACATATACATACACACACACACACACACACACGTATACCAGTAACAGGCAGAACCCCCACACTGGATCCCTGAAATGTGGAATAAGAACTATTATGGCAGGGAAAAGCAAGTGGAAGCCATTAGAACTACCTATACATAGGAACATAGTAAACCAAAAGCAATATTGCATTTCTGGAGGAATTGCAGAGACTAGTGCTACAATCATGAACTTGAAGGATACAGTGGTGGTGATTCCCATCATGTTCTCATTTAACTAGTCTATCTGGCCTGTGCAAGAGAAACAGATGCATCTCGGAGAATGACAATGGATTATCATAAAGTTAACCAGATTGTAGCTGCTGTTTCAAATGTTTCATTGCTTGAGCCAATTAATACATTTCCTGGTACCTGCTTTGTAGCTATTGAGCTAGCCAATGCCATTTTTCACAATTCCAGTTTTGAAGGAATGCCAGAAGCAGTTTGTCTTCAGCTGGCAAGGTCAACAATACATTTGCACTGTCCCACCTCAAAAGTACATCAACTGTCTAGCACTGTGCCATAATTTAGTCAGAAGGGACCTTGATCTCTTTTCCCTGCCACAAGATGTAACACTGATGCATTTCATTGAAGAAATTATGCTGATTGGACCTAGTAAGGAAGAAATATCAATAACTGTAGACTTATTGGTAAAACATCTGTTTGCTTGTTATTGTTGAAGTGGTGTTGAATCAGTTCTCATTTATAGCAACCCTGTTTAGGGTCTTCAAGGAGTCACCGGTAGTTTTGAATCACTGACCTTGTGGTTAACAGTCCAGTGTTTAGCCTACAGTGCAACTCCAGGACATTTGTGAGCTAGAGAGCGAGAAATTAGCCCGACAAAAATTTAGGTGCTTTCCAGCTCAGTGAAATTTCTAGGGGTTCAGTAGTTTAGAGCATGTTGAGATACTGCTGCTGAAGTGAAGAAGTCATTGCATCTGGTCCCTCCCACAACTGAAAAGAGAGGCACAATGCCTGGTGGATCTCTTTGGATTTTGGAGGCAACATATCACTCATTTGGGTGTGCTACTATGGCCTCAAAAAACTGATAGTTTTAAATGGGACCCAGTCAGTACAAGAGAAGACTTGGCAATAGGTTCAGGGTATGATGCAAGCTGCTCTACCACTTGGGCCGAATGGCATAGCTGATCCAATGGTGCTTAAGTGGCAGATAGAGAGGCACTTTATGGTCTTTGCTAGGCCCCTATTGGTGAATCACAGTACAGACCTTTAGGATTTTGAAGCAAAACCCTGCCATCCTCTGAAAATATTTTTGCTCCTTTTGAGAAACAGCTTTTGTTACTGGGCCTTAGTAGAGACTGAATGCATAACCAGGGGTCACCAATTCATCTGAACTACCCATTATGAACTGAGCATTGTCTGACCCACAGAGTCATAAAGTTGGACCTGCAGTGAAGTACTCCATCATTAAATGCAGTATTGGGTTTGAGCAGGACCTGAAGGCACAAGTAAGTTGCCTGAAGAAGTAGATCAAATGCCCATGGTATCCATGTCAGTAACATTCCCTTCCCTCTTCCAGACTACACTGATGGCTTCATGGGGCATTCATTATGATCAGTTGACTGAGGAAGAGAAAACTCATGCTTGGTTTACAGACAGTTCTGCACGATAGGCAGACACCACAGTAGCAGCACAACAGCTCTTTTCTGGGACTTCCCTGAAGAACAG